TCCTAGGTGGAAAGAGGCATGGGAGAGAAAAGTGTCTTGCCCAAGAACACAACCCATTGACCCCGTCAGGTCTCGAACCCAGACCTCTCGATCCAGAGTCCAGTGCACTGACCATGCATTAGGCCATTGGAAGACGTCTAAGGCGAAGTGGGGACAGAGTAGAAGCACAGAACAAATGAGCCGACTGTTTCTTATGCTGACCTTACCTACCTTATTTATGATAATGATTGCAATTTGACCAACGACTAGTTAAATTTTTCCTCTTTGCTGTAAAATGTCAGAGGTAACAAAGGCCTCTGCTCTAAAACATGGATGACTGCAAGACCTTTGATTAGAGAATGATACAAGTTAAATGAAACTTATTTTCATAAGACAGATTTGCAGCTTGGCTCACTTGAAAAAGAGGGTTTTTAAAACCGAAAATTACCTGTAACACGTATGGAAAACGTCTGGTGGCTGTCAAAATGTGACAAATGACATAACGATGAATTCTTCCGTCCAGAAGAACATATAGATAGAATGTCATTACTAATAATTTACAAACTCTGCTCATAGGAATGAGCTAAAATAAGATAAAGCTATTTAAACGTTACAATTTCTCGCCTTATTGCAGCAGTGTTTCATGAGGCGCATCTTTTTCCTGGATTAAGAGAGCTTCAGCAAAGTCTTTTTTAATCTTCTGCAAGTCGCTAGATAATTCTCTGAGTCTATTTTCAAGACTCTGAAAATTCTCTGCCACGAATTTCTTCCTGTTAAAGTGGGTTGGATTATCTTCTTCGCTTCCTTGGTCACACTTGCGCATATCTGAAGAATTAAAGAAATGCGGGATCTGTCAAAGCCTAATTAAGGAAAACAAATTGTATTTAGGAACCGTCAGTATCTATCATAAAATTGGGGGTTAGGGACGGGGAGGGAGTTACTTCGGAGGATCTGAGTTGCATCACAATTTATCTGATCCTCCGTAAGGCTCTGTTGAATTCTAATGATCTCCCTTTATGCTCTGATAGGTCCTCCCTCCGTACTCCCTGAAAACTACGCATTCCCCCCCCCCTCCTCCCGCGAAAACCTCTGACCCGCCCTGCCAAAAATGACAATGTTTGTTGATGGTAGAACAAGGACAAATTGAATCAAAATATTGCAACAGGGGTTAAACTTACCTTTCCTTTTTAGAATCGCAGGATTACAGGAATTCAAGCCCTCCCAAGCCATCACAATGATGACAAGTCCGAGGAATATCCCAAGAAGACTAAATAAGATAAACCGGGTTATTTCTGAGCCACTTGAGAATAAACCATCCATTTGATCAAATAAGGCTGTTGTCTAAAAACAAAAAAACATTAAAGAAGAATAGACTCAACCACTTAGAGTTGTTTAAAGGACAAGGGTAGTCCTTGTTTTCCATAGGTATCCTTCTTTTCTCATTTTTCCAGAACAGACAACAAACAATTAGTTTATTTCCCTCATTACAACAAAAAATGGTTGGTGACGCGCCATTTGTCTCTTGGGCTACTCAGAGGTGAATACTGCTTGTTATTCACCTCCGAATTAGCCAATCAGCGCGCGCGAAAAGTACTATTGACTTGTGTGGTATATACTAACAACTTCTACCAGATAAGTTTGAGTATTTCCATGACCTGTTTGCTAGGTAATGCATGAATATTATAGGGAGAGGTTATTTGTTAATTGACTCTGGGTGTTAAAGGATAAGAGACTAAAGAAAAGCGTCTAATAACTGTAGAAGAAGGTGTTCCGCAACTTTGCAAGCGTTCTTTCATCATCAGAGGGCTAAAGTTGCCTAAAACGAACCTCTCATATTTAGCCGGCCAGTTAAAGCCGTATGGCGACAAAAAAAAAACTTTTGTATGGTCGTGTATCAAAAACATGACATGAGTACCAACAATTACTCTTGACCACTTTAGTTCATAAGTGTTGTAGGAGACTACCTGCAGTTCTGCGGGTATCAGGGCACCTGAGGCCTTTTTACTTTCTACGCGCAAATCTGTGGAATATTCCTTTAATGCTGGTCCACATTCCACCACTTTTTTTCTCTTGACAATTTCTGGATCGGTGTCATTTGTAACGTTCACTGGTGCCGCGTATACATGCGCCAAGTAATAATCCATCGGATAATCGATATTGCGAATCATTCGTATCTGCCTGTTCTTTTTCAGTCCGGATTTATCGAGGAAGTAAAATGCAGTATTTCGATCTACAAGGACTCTTCCAATGGTTCCTTCGCTGAGTTTTTCTTGCATCTCTTGCAGGCTTCTCAACACTGTAATATCAGATATTTCTGGATCAGTCCAGTCACAAGGGAGGTCGCTTTAAAAAGGTTAAAAAACCTTTGAGACTTTATCCAATTGGTAGTTTGTCAGAAGAGGTGTCACTGACATGTATTTTTAGTGTAAGGTATGGCCTCATGATATGGGAGGACTTTCCCGTCTGGGTGAAGTCAATCCCCTCTCCCTCCCCGTCTCCCTCCTCTTCCCCCCTCTCGTGGCTCTGTGTTCGTGTACGTTTGTATTTGAATGGGAAGTCATACTGGCGTGTGCCCCGGAACGAATAATTGCCACGGAGTCGGGTGAAATCAGAACTATCCCTGAATCCTTCGGTGAGACAGGAATCAGGAGCACATGCCTGATCTTCGTTAATCCAGTATGGCATCGTCACGTTAATTTACTAAGGAAGACAGAGGCATTTATTAATTTTATTTGTGAACGGAATGTTGTCAATAGATAAGCGAAAATTGTTACTTACCAATTATCTTCGCGTCGAACTGCTTTGCCACAATTTGTGTATCAGTATTTTTGATAAACAAACCAACCTAAGGTGAATGACATTACATAAGAACAGCTTTTATCTTCTCTTGCGCATGTGTTGGGTGAGTTCATTTTTTTCATAACCTTTCCCCCTTGCACGCGACTACATCCTTTAGCCTTTTCACTGTTACAAGGACGAACTTAGTAAGTAATGAATCAGATAACTCACTTAGCAATAGTCAGTAATTGATAGGTCTCAAGGAACAGTGCTTACATATTATGGTAAATCAACACTAAAATCGCACGTAAAAAAACTTAATAGGGCTTGGTGAAGACTTGATCTGTCATCTTGGAATCTCCACATATTTTCGGGTGAATTGCGTGATTACTTCGCAATTCATACACCTAAAATTTAGATACAATAAGTTGGTATTCAGTTAGGAAGATTCTGGAAAGATTGCGGAGTGATACTGTCAGCGAAGAGGGCATTACTGGCGATAGATTCTACGAAGAAAGTTATGGAGGCTTTCGGAACGAGTCTGAGAGCTCAGACCATGATGTTACACGCTCAGGGGTGGCCCGCAGCGAGATGTTTCGTTTTTCTTTCTTTTTGTTTTTTCTTGTTTGAGTTTGTGCATAGACTGCAAGCAGTCTCCACTTTTCGGAGAGGTCCGTCGCACGAGTCAAAAAATATCAGCGAACAAAAGAACACAAATTGATGATAGCGTGGCGCGCGGAAATGTGCAGATGAGGCACGCGGCGGCGCGCCAATATCAGTTTTTTCCACGGTTACTTTTGTGCTTTTTATTTTTGTGTTTTTATTTTTGTGTTTTTGATTGGTGCGACGGACTTTACCAAAAAGAAGGGACCACTCTTATCCTTGTCCGTGTAAGGTTAGCATCCACCCTAAAGGCCATGATTTACCAGATTATCATCAATCCATAGAAATATCAAAATGAGTTGATAAGCCAGGTTTATGGAAATAACACAGACAACGCTGTCAACTTCGTATTTTTTACTTTTGACAACTCTCACCTCTTTACCGCTGATATCTTTGCATTTTGAGCCATCCAGAGCAGTGTTCATAGCATTTGTGACCATGGCAGTGAACAGCGATAACAATATCGCTCCAACAAGGATCCAAATTATGCTAAATAACCGTCCAGGAATCGACCTTGGTATTTTGTCACCATACCTAAAAAGGGAGACAAAAATTAATTTATAGGGGTGGATACAGAATGAAGATCCAGGGATCTGGACCTTGGTACTTTTACAACCAGAATTACTGAAACGTCAGGATCGCATGTCACTACGAACAGTAGTTGAAATTTACTTATCTTAGGTTCTGCTATAAAAAGAGAATTTAATTTGTGCTTTCTGAATCAAAGCTTGGGATCCCCTGTCATAAAACCCTTGATCCAGCTCTGGTGTGAGTACAAGCGCAGCTCCATCTGACAGTTTTTATATTCTTGACAGAATTCAGGGTAAAAATTGGTAACACTTTTATTTTAACCAAAAAAACGTTCATCATAGACATAGTGGAGCTTCGAGCGAAAAATTCAACGTGAATAGCCATTCCTGAAAATTTTATCCTTCGCTTTTAAACCTGTTCAATCCCGCAGCTTGCGACTTAAGGTTACTTCACACCTTAGCGGGTGTCCTTCGCGAAAAATTCGTACGCGCTGTAGTTCGTAGAATCCTTGCAAACTATACACCTGAAGAAAGCTTAATAACTGTATTTTGCGATAATAATATAATTTAAGCGACTTTTCTTTTAAGGAAGTGTCAGGAGCCGGTATCAAGGCATCAAACAACAAAAGTGTGTCAGGCTTTCTAGATATTCTTATCGGTTGTCTAAATATCGACATCTAAAGTTGAAGTAGCTAAAAATATGCCGGTCGTGTTGCGTTAATGGACGCAATGGGACAAATATTTCAAATATCAAAATTTTTCGACACATTTTCGTTTGTTATTATTCCTAGGATGTCGGCGAAATTTGACGAAAATTTGTCAACTCTAAATACCCTATAACTTCGGTCAAAGTGGTTGTACTCCTCCCAAAATCAAATGCGAGATTTTAGCTCATAAAGGTTCCCAAACTTAATGTTCTCCAAACAGGAGATTGTTTCGCTTCCATTTACGCAACACACCTCCCGTATTTTAGCAACTCCGACTTTAGATGCCGACATCTAGACAACCAATCAGAATATCGAAGAAGCCTGACACACTTTTGTTGATTGATGCCATGTGAATAACTGTGGCATCCGATACCCGATAAATTCAATAGAAGAACCTTCGGTCGTTTCACGCCTTACCGGCTCCTGACACTTCCTTAAAATAAAAGTCGCTTAAATTATATTTTCTTCGTAAACTGCAGTTATTAAGCTCTCTTCTGCTATATAGTTTGCTAGGACTTTAGTAAAACTTGCGCGCGTACGATTTTTTTCCCGAAGGACACCTGCGAAGATGGGAAGTAACCTTGAGAGAGCAAAGATACGTGGTTCAAAAACGCAAGCTTACACTTCCGACGAAATAGGTGGCTAGCGGCGTCTTTATATCTTTAAGCCGTGCTTAAAACATGAGATTTGTCCATGAATTAATAATAACTAATATTTTTCGCTATGGGGAGGGGGTTAGGGTTTGGAGGATTTTGGTTGTGTCAAGGTAGAATTTACCTGATACCCCCATAACGCTCTGTAATAACCATACCCCCCCCCCCCATTGTCAGTTATACTCGGTTGACGACGACCCATATCCACCCCATTCCCTCTAGAAACCACGCAACCCCGCCTCTCCCCCCCCCAAAAAAAATAAATAATCGACCCCTCCCTAGGGCGATAAATATTGACTGGTCGCTGAGAAGAAAATGCACATGACAATGTGGCGCCAGTGTTTTTGCTCTCTAACCCGCGAAGTTTTTTATTAAACAAAAGAAAAATAACATAACTTACCCTACCGTTGTAAGTGATACCACTGCCCACCAGAACCCCTGAGGCGATCCAATTGCAAAAGATGGTGAAAAATACTCTTCATTTTCTCTATGTTCCTGAGGGATTCAAAACAAAAGCATGGTATTAAAATGAATACTACACATCCGTCCACAAGCCAAATTACTTAAATTATAACGACCTACCCCGAAATCTGAAAATAACATTACTTCCATTTTGCTGTGTATGGGGCTTCGCTGCGCGCTACGAGCTCGCTCATACCGTTTCGATATCTCAGGAACACAATTTTCTTTTACCTGATTAAAATCTTTCGCGATAATCTTCGATTTCAGACAGTTTAAGTTAATTTCGAGTGTTTTTTTCTATAAGTTTAAGCACTATGAGTGTTAATGAACAAAGATGGCCAATCATGAGATTAAACTAATTAATCATTGAATTCTCTAGCGCTTTGAAATTTCCTAAAAAATTAAATTGCGTATGCAATAACTTCCAGCATTTAAAAATGTTTATTCATTATAAATACGTTTTCTAGGCCAATGATACTCACAAAAAGCCAAATGATAACCCCAGATATTCCTGATAAAAGTATGATACAAGCCAATATCGGCCACTGTGACGTGATGGAAGTCATCAACTGTTTCCGCGAATCCTGCTCGCATAACTTTGTATTCACTATCATTGAACACCCGGATGAGACAAATGCTCGGATGAGCGTGACATTGGTTTCAGTCGTCAGCTTAGCTTTCATGTCGGACAGAATAGGAAAAGCAAAATCCACTTGCTTTTCTTTAATCAGTTTGATCATCTCGTCGTAGTCACTTACAAAGATTGGATCCAGGAAGCAGTTCAGATGAGATTCCGTTGACTTTCCTTCATCAAAACACTCGTCATTTATAGACTTCATGAGCGGTTCGTACATAAACCCTCTGTTTGACTTGTTACTAGCTGTGTTCATTATATATGGAGGCACGTCCAAAAGAGCTATTTTGTATCGGCATTTGGTGTCGCTAGAATGTGCCTGACGGGTTTCACGCGTTCGTCGCTCTTGCCGGATCTCACGAGTCCCAGGGATTAATTTCGATTTATGACTTGAGTAGCTAGCAGCAGGCAAGGTAACGAAGCAAACCAGAACTACAATGAATCCAATCGTGACTCTATACATATTGAATTCTGCGGAATAAGAAATTTATCGTCAAAGTTTAAATTGTCCCCGAACCAGAGACGAAGATGAAAAGAAACAGCTTTCTACGTTGTTCATGAATTAGTTTATTCCAAAGTTTTCTTTTCAATTAAAATATTTATGATCTATTAAATTCTTACCCGGTTTATAAATTATTCAGAGTTCCATCTTTTAGTGAAAAATTTCAGTTCAAAAATTGCTTCCACGTTTCCTGAGAATGGCAAATCGGAAGTGGCTTTCTTTTTTTCACTGTTGTTTTTTTTACTCTTTTTGAGCAACCGAAACTAGTGAAGTCGGCAAGTTAAGAAAAAGTAATGAGCCGCAGAAAAAATACCCTCATGAACGTAATGTAAACGAATGCAAATCGGGGATAGCGGTTTATTTTGCTTGGAGGCAGGTGCAAATTCAACCCTACAGCGTGTAATTAAAATTACCACAACAAAACCGTCTTTAAAGGGAGTGTTGAATCGAAGCGAAATATTCACACCAGGACTTAACTGGTAGGGATGTGGCCATTTCTACGTAAAGCACGAGGGATGAGCAAATAAAATGGACAAAGCTCAAGAAATTTGGAAACAATTTTTCACAAAAGTTCGACGAGGATTGTTTCTGCAAACAATAAAGAAATTGTATGAATAAATTGCCATGATGACGATACAATATTTCGAGGAAACACGTACCTTTTTGAAAAGGAAAAAAGACCGAAACATTGTTGCATGCTGCATGTTAATTGAACAACTCAAGAACGAATGTGGAAATTTTGTTCGTAGTCGTCTATTCCGAGGAGTTCGGTCAGTGTAAGAATAAAATACAGCATAAAATGGCTGGAAAAAATTTCAGGTCTTAAATAATGCAACGTTATACTCACCTCCAAATCCTGCTATCGGCATAAATCATGCGAAAAGAGAGCTTGAAGGTGGGAAAACTTCGCACTGGACGCAGAAAACAGGAGAGTCGAATCCAAGTTAATTAAAACCTTCACTAGCAAATTAAGACGATACCGGCTGTGAACGAAGATTTTATCTTAAAGAGTTAGGAACATGATCCATTAGAACATATATTTTAGCGCTAATGGCGGCTGGCCGGCTGGTATTTTTATTGAAATGATTATGACTACAATTTGCTGACACCTCTTATCGTCGCTTGGGTAAAAAATACGAGAAAAACAAATTTGCAGTCCTGCTGAGAATACAAGCAATGACTATCGCTTGAGTAAGATAACGAACAGCCAAAACGAACGGAAAAGGTAATAAATTGTTTGTATTCCTGGTATAAATGAAACTTTGCTTACTAACAGTGCTGCGATAGAAAAATGTGATGCTTTTTTTAACCAGTGGCAAACACCAAAAATTTGCAAAAAGGAACCAAAAAAGGAAAAATGTTTATGCTGTCTTGAAGTGCCGGAGGACTGTACTGAAAGTATTTTCAAAATATTCGTAGCGAGATTTTCAGGCAAACGCATATATTTGTATTTTTCTTTATGTGCATTTGTAATAATCCTCTGAGGATTTCACAGGGAAGAAATCTATAGAAATTTTGCATTATATTCTTTCTTTAAAAAGATATGTTGTGTCATTTTATATAAAAAGCACGGACTATTATCTCTGAAAAATAGTGACTCAATCACCAGAAGTGTTGATCGAGCGCGGGATCGAAAGCAGGAAGGCTCCAGATTCCACTTACCTTGACTTACTGCAGTTGTAAAAGAGTTATATATTTGCTGAAGTACATGTGTGAAATATCAAACGCAGTGAAATTTAATCTCCCTTTCAACAAAAGACAAGGATCGCTGAACAATTGTAAGTCAACAAGAGTCTCACAGCTCACGGGGTGCAGCTGCCGATTACGAAATATGGCCATCATTCATTGGTCCATTGTTTCAGGTATTTTTGGTTAACCACTAAAATGATTTTGACTCTCTTGAATTGTAAATCTATTTATTTATTATTCTTAAGGCCTTATCCACTCATCTTAACTCCTTTTAACTTTTCTTTTGGGTCAGGGCTAAGAACCCGTAACTTCCACTAAAATTATAAACGAATATTAAGCTTACTATCAACAAAATCTGGTCAAAACTATTAGAATTTCGTTTTTTCGCTCTTTAGTCAAAGAAAGAAGTCATGTCTGATTTTTTGGGGAAATAAAAATTACAGAATCTTGAAAATAGGGAGATATGGCTGAGAGAATGTCATAACTCTTTAACTCCCATGGGTAACCAAGACAGAATTTCACCTTACATTATCAATACAAAATCAAGCAGACAAGTAATGACAATAAAGAAAAATATAAATTAGTGGATTATTAGTCGATCCAATACCAAGTGCTCCGAACTAATATCACAAGATTTACGTGGCAGACAGTGAGGAGAATTGCTAATGAGATCGTGGGAGTTAAAGGGTGTTAGTTAGCACAGTGTTAACGTTTTCCGCGGGGTTTCATCTGGGATTTTTATTTGCATATTTTGTTTGAATCACGTCTTGCACCACACAACGAAGGGGAATTTCTGTAATATTTCGCAACACGTTAACAAATCACATTCCTCATCAAAAAAAGAATCGTCGTGAGAGAGCCCAGGCCGAGAAAACAGAAGGCAAATTTTTTTTTCTTTTGCTTGCTTTACTCAATTTTCTTCATGTTCTTCAGTTGAGGATGAACATTAGGACTTCGTTGAACTATCGAAAATTCGTTTTCCCCGTTTCGCGAAATTACCTTTCCCGTGAATTTCGGAGTTTTTCTTCTGGAGACATAACAGGGGGTCGATATCGCGTTCCATTGGTCGGCGGTTTGACCGCAATGACATGCGAAAAATGTGAATTTCTTTGGAGAACGAAAACTCGAGGCTTGTTTTTATGCAAGTTACCTCTACTAAAACGAATTTACAGGGTATATAGATTTATCGGATTTTCATGAAAATTTGCCAGAATCCAGTTACCTTAACAAACATGAAATTTAAAAAACATCAGTTTATTTACAATTAGTTGAAATAGGACTCACAGGGGTGAGGGTTTGGGAAGAAGTCTACCTAGTTTCCAAACTAAGGCCGTGAATGACTAAACTAAAAGACTTTATGCAAAATTTTCCCTAATATTCTATGGTTTTACAATATCTTAATTCTTCATTAAAGAGTCCTTACACCACTTATACGGTGAAGATTATCCATTCTCTATAAGGTAGGTATACATATTGTCTCGTCATCCAGAAACTCAAGCTTATGCAAATACAGACACGGAAAACTTGGGGGCTTACAGAAGCCCCTAGCAGAGAATTTAAACATCCTGATTCAATTTTTTAGACGTAATATTGCAGAAGTAACTTTTTGATCGAAACGTTCAAGGTTATGCATGCGTTTCATTTTTCATTTCCTATAAGTCTGAGACGTCACATTTTGCTTAATCCTTTCAAAAAATGAACGAATAAGACTGAACTATAACCAAAACGTTAGACTAAACTAAATCTTCTTTTCTTGTAACTAATTTTTTAGCCGAGATTCAAGATTCGTCATCTTTTTTTTTTTCTAATTTGCCAGCCCATTAGACTCCCATTCCTGTAGTTGCTTGCCGCGACACGATCTATTTTTCCATGGTACAAGAGCGAGCCTAAAAATTCTTAGTCAAGGGAACCAATCATGTAATGTGCGAGTAAGGTCCCTAAAATAATACTCTGTGGACACTATTTGATCTAACGTCTAAGCTTTAAGCAAGCTAATACCAAAGTAATTATTCTTAACCCTCGATTCTGTTCATCCGTCAGCACGGACGAGGTAGAGTCTGTAGTTAACTGTGCAATCTATTTCATCAATAGACGGCCAAAGCTGATTGCAATGGAATGAGAAAAATTTATAAACCTTCTTGGTTAACTTGCTACCTTTCTCTGAAAACGACGTATTGGTTTGTTGGCCTAAAAACTGAAGTAAATAAATTAAACAGGGAATAGGAATAAGGAAGGAAAACAATTCAATACAATTCGTAATGAAAAAGAATAAGTCAGTTACGTGTCCTACTCAGTGTGACACATTCACCTTTTCTTTTTGCTCAAGCTAAAAATATGCCACTGGCCATGGAAATCTCAGAAGAGTAAAATGCTATCTGAATCTATTTATGACAAATTTTTTCAGCGAGTTATAGTTTTGTTTCAGTATTTTCACTCTTTCCTTTCTGATCAAGCATAATAAAAAATGAGCGTTCTTTTGGTCTTGAGTATTCAGGAATGCCTACAGGAGACAAACCGTTCATGGCACTTTCAAATTCCTCTTTCAACTTTTGTAGATCAGACGTTATGTCTTTGAGTCGCATCATGGACATCTTCCTGCTGCGAGGAATCAGTCCTAAAAGGATCGAAGAGGACATTTTAAGAAATGAACCACAAAATTAATCCTTGAACATATTACTTCAGTCTTTCCGTTTGTCAGTACACAAATAGTTGATATTTGATTCGGTCATTAATCGTTTGAATGAATTACTATTTTCTCACCGACAAACGGACTGACATAATTACTTATTATTTGATTGACAGACCGACTGCCTTATAAGTATTGAACCCATGACCTCTGTGTTGGGTCCAAATAAACCATCCAAGTAATGAATGATGATTTTAGATATATGAAATTATATATTTGCACTGCGGTGAAGAAATGAAATTAAGAGATCCTCGCAGCTAAGAACACTACTGAAACGAGTAGTTATAAATAGGACCTGAGAAAATTCAGGCCCGTACGGGATTTGAACCCATGAGCTCTGCGAAACCGGTGCAGCGCTCTACCAACCGTACGAGCCTGAGTTTTTTTCAGGTCCTACTTTCAGTTACCTTTTCTCTTCTTGCGTACCGTTGGCTTACAGTTGGTGTAGACTTCCCATAGTTTGCCGATGACTAATAGGAAGACAAATATTCCCAATAAGGCAAATAAAGTAAATTTGGTCATTTGTGAGCCAGTGAAGAATAACCCTTCCATTTCACTGGACAAATCCGCTGTCTACAAGAAATAAACAATTTAAAAACTGTTAATTGCATCGGAATAAATGTCTGACATGACGAGCAGAATGTTGCGTGGTGAAATATATAAAATTCACAAAAAACTATTAACTACCTGTAATTCGGCAGGGATAAGTTGCTCTTTGGCAGTGTCTTTAGCAACTGCAACCAAATCCACTAATTCCTTTAGGCTTTCCTCGCAAGTCAAAAGCTCAAATTTTCTATCCAATATTACGTCATCAGAATCGTTCACTCACGTGAGCCAGGCAATATTCCATTGAATAATCGATGTTATGAATCATTCGGATCTGCCTGTTTCGTTTTTATCCAAAAAGTAAAATGCAGTGTTGCGATCCACCATTACTCTTCCAACTGTTCCTTGGCTAAGATTTTTTTTTGTATTTCGTGTACGTTTTTGAACTCTATTAAGTGAAAATTTATTTGATTATTTCTCCACTGAATGCAAGTTCTTACGTGAATAAAACGAAAAAAACGGCGGAAAAATTTCTCCTTAGAGTTGTGATAAAAAAATATACGAAATATGACTGTTTGGAATTAAAAAGTAATTTTTAAGCTTATTTCTGTACTTTCGCAGTCGTCCCTGAAGAAAAATGGTCGTGCAACACGTTATACAAGGACATTGAAATAAACCTGAAAAGAAATACAAAGTCTGCATCCAGCTCCATAGCAACTATATGCGTTTCAGGATTCTTGTCGGGCACACCCACCTAACAAGTAAGTTGGGATCAGACAAATTTTTATGCGTCAGTTGGGCCCTTATACATAGCACTATCATAATTTTCGACCTAAATTGTTAAAACAAGCATAATTTTTCCTTTTTATTATGAAAATAGCACTGCAAGCCTAATCAGGATATTTTTTCTTATTTTGAAGAAAAAGTTACCAGAGTCATGACTTGTTTGTTTGTTTTGTGTTGTCTCCAAGACCGATTATTTTCAAATTCGGTTCATGTCTTTTTTCAGGTTTTCAACGTCTTGGAAGAAGAGAGTTACCGCAGTATACAATTGTTCGTAGTCTAGAGGACTGGGCACATCCGTGGTGAAGATTGCATCGTTTATAGTTCCCACTTTCACAGGCAACAAAATGGTGCCGAAGAGAAACTTACATTTTGACACGTCAAGTCACTGCTTCTCGTCTGGAATCCAATGGTTGATTATGTTTTGTCAAAGCAAGTATGTATCTCAAAATGAAGAGGATTTCATGCTTAATTGACGACAAATATATAATTTGGACTTCACTGTTTCTTTTTTCTTTTTTTTTGGTAGAGCACACTTAAAGAAAAAGTAGCATAATTTTCAAAAACGAGCATAATTTTAAGCATCATTTGAAAAATGATTGAGCAATGCCACTAGCATAATAGGCTTCTTTTACTAGCACAATCTAGTTTAGTGCCAGATGATAAGTACTTTCTCTTGGAAAGACTATGAAAAGTCTGTGCAACGAAACTGCACTTCAGTTGTAGTTCCGGAAAGACCCACCATAGATAAAAGGAACGGGGAACGCACTTTTGTTGAAAGGGCTTATGATTGCCGAAGTTGCAAGGGTCTTTTTTCATCTACAAACAAACAAGCTAGCGGCTTAAAGAACTTTCGTATCCCCCTCTTTCTCATTCGAGAAAGGACCTGCTCTTGTAGAGTTCAATTTGGTAAATTTTGTGAGCCATTTTGATGTCATTTTTCACCGGCCTATTTGTAGGTGCCATGAAAGCAGCTTTTGATGGCCTCCAAATGCAAAGAAATTGCTGGTAAAGAGGTGTAAATCCTTTCGTTACTCGGTATTAATTAGAAGAGAGCCGCTAGTTTGGCTAATGTCAGTTTCCATTTTGAAGCACTTAATAGGTACTTCTGTTAGTCTTATTACATAGGAAAAGGCCAGATTAGCTGAAGTAAGCCCTTCCGGAATTTCTGTTATCAATCGCTGTATGGGCTAAATATAGTAGACGAGGATTTTAAAGACAATATGCAAACACCTCGGTAAATTCTGATTAATTATATAAATTTACAGCTTCCTCTTGCTAAATTTCAATTAGAGACCCGCTTGAAAATAGGGCGAAACAGCACAAGCGACTGCATTATTTAGAAAAGTTTATAAGATTATCTTTACAACACAGTAAAACTCAATATCTTCAACTCTTCTAAAAAAATGGACCATGCGTCGAATTTTTCTTCATACTTACCAGTTGTTGACGGCAGTCCATTCGTTATGGGCGTGAAATACAATCTCGTTGATGGGGATTTTAATGACTTCCTAAGATAAGATTTAGTTGAAGATGGGTAAACCACTTTACATGAAAAGTTCTGATGAGCACTTTCGTAAATTAGTGCATTTTTGGATAGCCTTATCATGCATGTTGCCTCAAAATGATGATTATTTTATTATGATTTTCTCTAAGGTATTTTTCTCGAAAATTATCTCTATATGATGCCGTATAAACTGATACCGACTAAAGAGATTAAAAATAAATTTTTCTCTTTGTAAGATAAAGCGAAATGAAACCTAGAGCAACTCTAACTTAGGTCATATCGATTGAATTAAGGACCTACCGAGATGCTTTAATAACTATTAGAAATAACTGCAATGCAAAAATAAAATATACTGGTATTCAAATTAAATCCATATACTAAGCAAAATTTTGATAGTTTATCACTATTTTTTCTTCTGAAATTTATGAGAAATGTACTTTAACATGAATATGTTTCTAATTAGTTGAGCTTAAATTATACGTGGGTTTATTCCCTCTCGATATTCAGTTCAAATTATTAGAAAAACATTGCTTTGGTGATTCAATTTGATAAAGCCTAAAACACTTGACAGAGGAAAAGGATTCGTAAACGCATCACCGCTTAGGAGAGATGTTTATCAAAAGGGGTTAGTTACATTTAGCTCTGGTGTAATACAACCTTATCACCCTCATTAATATCGCTTTCACTATTTATTCCCTGGTGACACTTCCATACAAATTCAAAACGACTTTTAACGAAAATCCGTTTTAAGTTCTTAACTTTAATGTCATTGTCTCTTTTATCTTATTATGAGGAAACAGTACCGCTAAGAATTACTTTGAGGATTCTTCCCGGGAGTTGGTGCGAAAACAGTTTCCTTCTCATCCAGAATGGTTAAAGAGTACGTTGATATCCTTAAAAAGACTAAATGCTCCCCATAACTCTTAATGTTGTGCTTATGATGAGTTCCAAAGCTTTCTATATTTCTGCAGCTCATTTCGCAAATGATGGTGGTGTAGATTATGTGCTCTTTAAAGGATATAATGATAACATTCTCAATTCGCGACCTTTTGATCCTTGATTTAACCGCAGATTTATTATTGTAAAAAGTTGTCCAATGCCTTGATTGCTCCATCATTTGCAGCTGAATATTCTTATTCTTTTGGCGTTCTGTACATTGACTGTGCAAACCAACATGTGAATGACAGTAATAAAGTATGCAAAGAAGGCAAAACTCGCACCTTTTGTTCGCCCTCGCTGAGAATTTTAACAAGTTGTTTTCGGTAGCTTCGAAGTGTCGCCGGCATTCTAAGGAATCGCTTATCGAGGAAATGAGAGATAAAAGTTAACTTCGTAGGACGTCTGCTATTTGCTTCACAGCGTTGCAAGGGAGGAGCAATTTGTATTTTGAATACGATTAAGATTCTCTTTGTAACATTTGAGCCGTTATTGTTCCTTGACTACAAAGGCCAAGCACTTTTTGAAGGAGGACTGAAATTTGTTACGAGTAAATCTCTGGTTGCCCTTTGCTGAGTGGACAGTGCAACTAATTTGGTAAGTGAAACAAGAATTGAAATAAAATATTTCCTGTAGGGCAATAAACTTGATATTTTCTTTGAAGAAAAAAAACATAGAAAATTGAAATCTCGTTTGAAAAGTATTGGGAGTTAAAGCCACAATTAGATAGGGCAGAAAAATTAGTTTATATGGTCAAAATTCAAACCTGCCAGAAAGTAAGCTATTTCTTTTCCAAGTAGGTAACATAGCAATAGCCTGCTTTCTGAATTTAAAATGTTTTTATTTTCTTTGTTAGAACTTTCATGAAAAAAACACTTATTTCAACTTAAGCCAAATAGTAGCGATGTGAGAGATTTATTTCAATATATATTTGACTGTTTTGATCTTAAACTGTTTTATTGAAAATACCCTCGCAAAAAACACGACACGAGTACTGAATATTTACAGTACCTACACCAACCAAAGACTGAACCTAAGCACTACTATTGAGAAGCGTAGTAATAATATTGGTGAGATTGAACTGAGAGTCACATCCCAACGAAATCAAAGGCAAGGAGAAGGAACTAGGAAAGAAATCGTAAATCAGTCACTAAGAATTTCATCGAAGAAACCGGAAAAATTTGAGTCGTATTTTATGCGACAACACAACTTTCAAACCTTGAATGTAGTCATTCTTTCCTTCAATTTTAAATTTATTCTTGATGAAATAAAAAGAAATTCATTAATTTTGTAAGCGTTGGTGTTAAAAAAGCTTTCAACCAAAAATGTTGATATCAATTCTGATCGTAATGGTCTATGATTAAAGAGGACAACGTTAGGGTAGGTTTTTTTGTAAATCTTACAAGTTCACTGTATAGAGACCTTTACCTTCCCACACATTTCCCCACGAAACTTTGCGATTTAATTCATATCACTGATAAATAATTTATTAGAAATATGTTGAAAAAAAATTCTCAATAAAGCAATTTTCTAATGCGGTTTGATTTTGTCTCGTCGAAAGGCGATATTTATCCCTGATTCGTAATCACAAAAATGTTTGGCTCTTTCTCAGATCAAAACAATTCTCGTTTGACAACTCGCTAGTGCTTTTTGATTAAGTCTCCTTGAGCAAGCCACAATTGGCGAAAACAAACCCTCAGGTTTTACCTTTCAAGCTATGTTTTGCTTTTAGTGCTTCGCTCGTCTCTAAGTCTTCC